CCAGAGCCTCTTTAGACATCAACAATAACAAGCCCCGCATATCAAGAATATCCGGGCCCCGGATGGTAAATCACGTTCAGGTCTAAAACAGTATTTACTTCGCAATCTCCATGAAAGCAATGGGCAAAAATTCCAATAAACTATTGCTAAGTAAAGACATATTATAGCCTAATTGCAAACTAAAAACTTAATCAAATTATTTCATTTACAAATTAATATACTCTCAAAATAGAGGCAAACCAAGCCAGCTTGAGTACAAGTACAGTAATTAAGTATATTTAAATACCGCACAAGGTGTCAATGTTGTGGCACATTTTGCATATTTGCCATGAATCTAAGTTTGCAAAAAGTCTCCAAGTAACGCCATGTTAACCCGTTTTAGACTGGGTTGGACTGTTGGTTATAGAGTGTATAACGTACCTATCGCGTGTTTGCCTGTACGATAATATTGAAAAATATAAAGGTAAATATGAGGAGCTTTAGCTCTAAACAAGACCCTCACCAGAGTTGCCAGGTTGCAGGGCCCTGCCGTTATAAGGAAAGTCGCCAGCAGTTCCACGGACAGCAGCACCAGTGGCGGCAACACTGCCACGTGTTGGTGGTGGTTGCCGGCGGCGTTACTGTGGTGGTTGTGGGGGGCGTTATGACGGATGACCGGGGGGTCAACCATCGGGATGTTGAGGTTGTGCTGCAGAGTGAAGAGCTGCAGGGGCTGTGCAGCAGCATTGATGCAAACCTGCAGCACATGCAGCGGCAGCAGTGCAGACTGGTGCAGCAACACCAGCAACCTGTACAGCACAAGCGTTAAAGGCGGCGTAAGACGAGACGAGCGGTCAAACACGCACACCTTATGACCAAGAATATATCCATTGGTTACCTAGTTTATTACTACGGGCGGGGACTACAGAGCTACCGTATGACGACGCCACACTGCATTTGTTACATTTTAAATTATTAGCACACACCCTAAGCAGGCTCATTGTAAGGCATTTAACAGAAAGAATATACTTCAAAGCGGCACACGACAGCTTTGTAGCTTGTACCACGGCACAAGCAACAGAAACACGCGGCCATGCACAATAAACAAGCACACGCCCGATGGCCCAAAGTGCGTCCAACTCACTCTTCTGACCCTGCCTCTCGCAGCAGTCGACGGTGTATTCACCAAACGTGGCCTTGATACTCATAACTATTTTGAAGCGAAGAATAAGTATTGTCTTTTTTACATACTGCATGTCCTGTCCAAGGAAGCGGAGCTAGATCTATTTCCAATAAACTCGAGTCTCAGAACCACAATGTTTGGGTCACTGCATTGCTTGCTATTCGATTGCGCTCAGTCACTGGTCGTCCAGAAACACACGCAGGTATACAAAAATAAACAGGCCCACACGCCTTAACTTGAAGTCCACCTGAAATGAGACTTAAGGTGGCGTCGGACCACCACGTCCTCCATGTCCCCATCGGGGCCAGCGTCTCCCCCGGGACCAACGTCTCGGCCGGGGCCCGCATCTCCCTCGGGGCCCACATCTCGCCCAGGGCCCACGTCTCGGCCAGGGCCCACGTCTCGGCCGGGGCCCACGTCTCCCCCACGCAGAACTCTGAGTCGACCAAGCAGTTCCCAGAACCTGGCCAGGGCTTCGGCCTCCAGCAGTGGCCTCAGCGACGTCCCCAGCAGGAGATGCCTCTCAGCCTTAGCCAGCTGCGCCTCCACGTCCTGCGCCAGCTGTGCCATCTGTGCAATATAATTACCAATAATTATCTTTAAACGTTCGCTATGTTTGCTAAAACATGTGTCATTGTTAACTGAAGCTCCCATGTATAGCTTCTGCATGGGAATGGGGCACGCCATTGCGGCGAGTGTGGATATGAAGTAATATCGCTTATTTTATTCAATTTTGATCGTATTTGCCTTATTTAGCCTGCAGGTAATGAGAATTTGATTGAATTGTCGTAAGTTGCCGAAAACTTGACCAATGACCAATGGCAAAGTTGCACTTCTACAAACAATGTTACATTAATTGTACCGCAATTGTTGGCATTATTGTACTAAATATTAATTACTGAACTAAATTACTTTGTCTGCCCAGACCTGCGTGCAGAGCTGCTGTGCACGGTCAGTGTGCACAGCGTGCAGCGCTGCTGTGCTCTGCTGCAGGCGCTGCAGTGCACAGCTCAGGGGGGCGAGTGCTGTACGCACATCATCGCTGTACACGTCCACAGCACAGCTAACGCACAGCACCAGTGTGCAGTACTGCTGTGCGTACAGCTCCTCCTGCTGTGCCTGCGATAAAACATTCAAGCGATCAGTCAATAACCGATGAATAAGTTTAGTACGTCGTAGTCCTAGGTCATGCTGATGCACCACCTTCGTCGTCCTCCGTCCCCAAGCTGTCGATAATGGATGTTAATAAATTATTGGCCATGGAACGCACAAAACGCAATATTCGAACATGATTGAGTGATGCAGAGATGGGTTGACACCCGGCATCTGATGTTGAAATAACTTCCTTATTACGAAATCAACCCATAATCAACGTTATTTCAACGCATTTGCTCGCCCGGAGTTTGAACAAGTAAACAAAACCTGTATGCATAATGGGGAGTGTGAGGGAAGGGTGAGGGGAGGGGTGAGGGGAGGGGTGAGGGGTGACTCACCTTGTGCAGCAGCATGGCTACGAAGTCCCTGCGTATACTGAGCAGCTGTGCAGCACTGCAGCAGCTGCAGTCTGCTGGCAGGTGCACAGCCTCTGGCAGGTGCACAGCCTCTGGCAGGTGCACTGCCTCTGGCAGGTGCACAGCCTCTGGCAGGTGCACAGCCTCTGGCAGGTGCAGCTGCTGCTGTGCCAGCCTCAGCAGAGTATCAGCCTCAGCACACAGCAGCAGGAGGTGCTGCTGACAGGCGCAGCAGTGCTGAGGCAGCAGCAGGTGCACAGCACGGCAGCACAGCAGCTGCAGGTTGCTGCTGCACACGCGGTTCAGCAGCGCCAGCAGCCGCCGCTGATGCTGCACAGAAAGGCACTAACTATTAATATTATTATACACTATAAATATCATACATTATACGTAAATAGAATCATTTTAAATATTAAATTCATTTTAAGTATTACATTTAATTTATATTCATTTTAATTCAGCCATCTTGTATAATATGATTATATACTTTAATATCATACATTATATGTAAATAAATTCTTGTTTAATATTAAATTTTTTATATTCATTTTAAATTCAGCCATCTTATGAAATATTATTATATACAATTAATATCATATACCTATAGTACATTATACATAAATAGATTAATTTTAAATATTAAATACATTTTATATTCATATTACAGTAAATTATATTACATTTAAATATATACGGTATATAATAAACACATGACGCAACCATCAAGTCTCCCGGGGGCGTGATGACGTCATGACTTGCCCTCTCCCCAACCCCCCTTATCATTCAAGCGTCCCCGCCCCCGCCCCCCAACACACCCATAAAGAGGGGGGCCGTGACGTCATTTATTCCCTCCCCCCATTGGAACCCCTTCACCCCCCACCTGGGCAGGGGGTCCTGGGCAGAGCTGGACGGGCGCCGAGAGGGCGCCTGCCCGCCAGGGGTCCGGGCACTCGTGCAGCGGCCGCCCAGGGGCGCCGCCCTCCTGGACGGTAGTGTCCCGCAGCTATCAGGAGAGGAGGTGGTGATGTGGTGGTTGATGAATAATATGTGATGATGGAATAAAATGGTGACGTATTTAGTCATTATAAATATCAACACTATGACAATAATGTAGAAGTCAGCATAGTAGAAATTAAAACTGAAAAGCTGCACTAAATAACAAATTAATTAAAAAGCCTTAAATGTCCAAAAAGCCCTAAAAAGTGCTAAATGTTCTAAAAAGCCTCAAAGTCATAAAAAAGCCTTAAATGTCTCGAAGAGCACTAAATGCCCTAAGAAGACCTAAAGTTTCTAACAAGCCCTAAATGTCCTAGAAAGCCCTAACTACAACAATTGAACAATACAAAGCCCCACAATAAGTGACAATAAAGCAGTAAATGCGTGAGAAAACCTGCGCTGGCAGAGCAGCTGCTGCAGGAGGCGCAGTAGGACCAGGGGCGCTGCCCTCCTTGTTCTTCTTGCTGCTGCTTTTGTTTTTCTTGTTGTTGTTGTTCCTTTGTTGTGTTCTGAGGGCGTCTGGTTGTGAGGTGTTGTTCTTGTTGTTATTATTGCCATGAGTGCTGGGTGATGGAAGTGTTTTATATTTACTTTTGTTGTTTTTCTTTTGTTTTGTTTTGAAGCGTTCGGATGGTGGAGCGTCGTTGTTCTTGTCGCCCTGTTGTTCTCTTGTGAGGGCAGCAAGCACTGCCGTGTTGTGAGGAACTGCCGTGTTGTGAGGTACCCGCCCCTCACCACCAGGAGTAGGTGAGCCCTCACCCCCACCAGGAACTGCAGGTGTAAACTAAAATTTAAATACATAAAGACTAGCAATAATTTCTTAATATTAAATAACAGTCAGGGAGTAAGAGGGGTTACACTTCATCAGGGGGATAGGGTTATTATTTATTAATAATATTCATTAGATATTCAATATTTACTCATAACCTTCCAGAGGTGCTCTGTATCACCTAACTGCTGGAGTCGTTAAAAAGGATTCCTCTAGAAATAAATAATATTGAGAATTATTTTTACAAATTTAATAGCAATATGTTATCAAACCAGTAGGGTCATATGCTCTCACTAAACAAATTTCATGAAAATTTTATTTGTAGCTGGATTTGTGATTTTTTTGAACCATGTACATGGAAAAACTTGAAAAGCAATAAATTTTTTAATAATAGTAAGAATGCAGAAAAATGTATGGTGAAGAATTCTTTGATTATTTTCAAGTGAATAGGTAATTTAGGTCAGAACAGACATGACCAAGTCTGCACTCACCGCAGATATGACCAAGGCTGCACTCACCGCAGATATGACCAAGGCTGCACTCACCGCAGACATGACCAAGTCCGCCCCTCACCACCAGGAGTAGGTGAGCCCTCACCCCCACCAGGAACTGCAGGTGTAAACTAAAATTTAAATACATAAAGACTAGCAATAATTTGTTATTATTAAATAACAGTCAGGGAGTCACAGGGGTTACACTTCATCAGGGGGATAGGGTTATTATTTATTAATAATATTCATTAAATATTCAATATTTGTTCATAAACTTCCAGAGGTGCTCTGCATCAACTTTAATGCTGGAGACTTCAAAAAGAATTCCTCTAGAAATAAATAATATTGAGAACTATTTTTACAAATTCATTAGCAATATGTTATCAAACCAGTAGGGCCATATGCTCTCACTAAACAAATTTCATGAAAATTTTATTTGTAGCTGGATTCGTGATTTTTTTTTAACCATGCATATGGAAAAACTTGAAAAGCAATACATTTTTTAATAATAGTAATAGGTAATACAGAAAAATTGATGGGTGAAGAATTCTTTAATTATTTTTAAGTCAATAGGTAATTTAGGTCAGAACAGGCATGACCAAGTCTGCACTCACCGCAGACATGAAGTTCCCTGGTCTTGCCGTGCCCTCGCTTTCTTCTCCTCTTCTTCTTTACTGAAGCTTCCATTTTTTTAGATCAGGTCGCCTGGAATTAATAAACTTGTTACACATGAAAATTCTTGACTCAATTCTTCAGAAATTCATCAATTTGTACGTACAGCAGATGGGCTAGAAACATGTCATTTAACCCTCATAAAGAGGAAAACAATGAAATCAATTGCACAAATGAATTATATACTGCACTTGTTATGGCGAAGCATTAATTTGCTTCTGATCTTTCAAGGGGAACATAGGAAGTATATTTATAACTAACCATCAGTACCATGGCTGTGACTTGAAGGTAATATGATTACTTGCATATAATAATAATATAATAGCGGTTTTAGCGTTTAATAGGCCGTAGGCCTGTCGCCAATTCTTAACATCGCAGAATATTCACAGCTTGTTGCGGTCTTGAACTCACAACTCACTGCTACAATTCTGCTGTGCTTAACCGCCCGGCCTCCTTGCCGATTCTGACCAGAAACTGGCGCACAGAGCTGGGATCAAACCCGCGCCTCTCTAGTGCATCAATCTTGGTACTCTGAGCTTTAACCACTGGGCCACCCTGCCCATTATAACTTCCATACAACAGAAATGTTTACTTAATCTTTCACTGGACATCAGCTGAAGCAATAAGAATACCTATAACATTTAAGGGTACTGTTTACCATTAAGCCACTAATCACAAACAGGGATGTAAATTCAAGCAGTTATACTTAGCAGAAACTTCTGGTGCCCAAAAATACCATATCAAAAAGATCTTGTCAGGAAAGGAACACAATTTACAATGCAAGAAAAATTCTATTGTGATCTAGGTAATCAGCTAAAGAAATTCCAGCCTGAAAAACATTAGTCATGAATAGAATATATTTTCCTCCTTCAATGTAAATCCATAAACACAATAAAATGTTACTTTCCAAAGGCACATATACCATTCTCAGCAGCATGATCTTATGGCAAGGTTTGAAAATTGCTACATTTTATTGCAAAGCCTGCAACTCAAAAGGTCTTGTTTTGATGATATCTGTATGATGATATAATCTTGTAGCTCCAACATAAAAAATTTAGCTTGTATCTGAATTACCGTAAAATGGGGTAACTTTGACCACTTTTTTTTTTAAATGCCATTTTTTACTAGATAAGTTAAACTTAAATTGAAACATGCAAAATACAGGTCTATACTCCCATATATTGCTGGCTCCTGCCTCTCATAGTTTTGATGTAATTAAAAAAAAAAAATGGTCTTGTTACCCCCCACTTTGGGGCTTCTATGACTGGGTGGTAAAATCAATTTTATTTTTTGGTAAAATAACTCCAAACAATTCCAGGTTTGGTGCATTGTAGTATAACTCTTCTAGTTACATATGCAAATGACAAATTCTAGGAAAGTGTCATAGTTTGCAAATTGGGGGCGCTGCTCCCCAATGGGTGAAATGTGACCACCTAATGGCAGCCGTGACGGGGTAACATTGACCGGCTTGGAAATTGAGTTAAAATTACCATATATAAGACTCTTCAAGTCTGAAACATAAAGAAAAAACATTAATAGGTGTATCAAACATAAAATATGCTATATAGGTACCTATGGTAATTTCAACTTAATTAATTAATACCATGGAACATTTCATAAACAAGTTTAGGCTCATTTTAAAGGTTTTTGCAATTGCCATTGTATGGAATGGCCAAAAAAATCCACATGCCATTGGTAAGACACCAGACATAAAATAATAGCACATCAAATTATCCCTGGGAAAGGGGTAATACCGGACACTTGAAGAAATAAAACATAATTTTTAAAACATTTGAAGCATGCAGAGTGTACTCATCCATTACTAACAGTACTCTGAAATCCTCTTCTTCCTTTGTAGATGCTGTAGATGTAGAATAAATGGAATTTTCTGTGATTATTACTTGTTTTTCCTTTATTGATATGATATTACCATATCAACAAATAATGCCATTGAGCATTTACAATAACCTTGTCCACTGCAAGCTTCATATCAGCAGCCATGTAGCATTTCTTTTGCATCTGTAAGCTTACAGGACTGCTTGTAATCTCGTACCATTTTAATTGGGTCAAGTGAATGCACTATAACAAAATAAATATAAAAAAAACATACCTGAAACAGAAAGGAATATTTTAGTGACAACCATCATATTTTTTGGAGAAATAATTTTTAGTTTAGATTAATCACTTTTCATTCTATGTTGCTCAGTGCACAATTCTATCTTTGACATTCTATGCACAATTTTTTGATGACCAATTATTTTATTACTATTTATATTTATTATGACCATTATTTTTTGTTAAATGAATTTTTTGCTGAGCTAGGTAAATGTAATCAAAATTTTTTGTTGTTAATTGATTTTTTTTTGTTAACTGGGGCCTTTGCTAATCAAGGTTCTACTGGGTAAATGCTTTTCTAGGTGCGTCCCATATTACCCTGTCTTGCAGAAATGGATGCCATTTTTTTGGGAATGAGATATGCAAATTCTGTCAATCACATTTTTAAGCCAACATGGCAACACCATGCAACTTTTATGCAAGTAAAATTTTTAATACAGCAAATATTTTTTTTGTAACAGACCTTAGCAAATGTACTTTTCCAAAAAACTTGCTTTTCATTTCAAGGGATTTTCAGAGCTGGTAAATTTGTGATTTCCTAACTTCCTTTATTTATGCTATATAGATAGGAAAATTGTTGAAATTTACACTACTATTCCAGGGTGCAGAGGGTGGAAGCAGCGTCGCCAATATACGGGTTTTTAAGCCCAAAGCATCGCCAACCATTTACAAGATGTGTCGCCAGGTAAAAAGCCATTTACGCTGAGTAATGAAAAACTATTTACAAGCCATGAACTTATTTACAAGGTTGCATGCACATGTTAACCCAAATAACTAATTTTGCCCTAAAAACAGTCCAATTGTATAGCAAGTGTCAACTGAACATGTGATAATGCAGTCTGACCGCTCTAATGTGACCGCAACTACACAATCATAAACTTGTTTACATTTTTTTGGCAGGAAATCATTGCAACTGATTTCCAGACAAGCTTCACTGCATCCTGATCCATCCAATGTACCGGAAACCTTACTTTTTCTAAGTAGTTGGCCAAGACCGACAAATATATTGAATGCAAGAATTTCAATCTAAATGTGTCGGCAAGATCTTCTGAAAGCGTAAATTTTGCTACTGAAGCGTCGCCAAAGATCTTGTAATACTCATCCACTCTCTGCACAGTGGCTACTATTGGTAGTTTTGCAGTATTTCAATTAGTTTTGCTGCTATAAAATTTTACTCCATGGTGAAGGACTGTCTCAATTTGGCCCCACCCATCCCTTATTGCCTCACTGCTCATTTGACAGTATCCATGATACTTTCCAGGTGACCTGGTGCAAGTGGTCTACTTACAGCCTACAGAACTCAAAAACAAAGTAAGAGAGACTCTAANGAGCATGTAGCGGTAGCGGCCGCTATATTTCAAAGTAGCGCTGCCCAGCTCTGTATAAATGTATGATGGTAAGCCAAAGTTTATACCACATCAATAATTGATTCGTCTCGTTATGTCTCGTTAAAATGGCTATAAATTCCGGGAAATTTTAAACTACCTATTTTAACCGGGATATCTCGTCTCGTCTCGGTATCGTCCCGGAATTCCTACGGAGGGCTGAAAATTGTCCCGGTTTTTATTGCGAACCGGGACAGAGCCTGTTGTCTCGTCTCGTCTCGGATAAAAAAAATACCAAACGCAGGAGTCTACATGGAACTAAAACAAAGCTTAATATAAAGGAAAAACTAGAGAAGTGACGGAATTACCTACGATGTCGGAATATACCGCGTTTACCCTACCGCATTTACCCTAATGCAATGCAGAAATGCCCTTGCTTAGTTGCTTATGCAGCTATGCCCTTCTGGAAAATTGGACCCAATAACATCCAAAACTCCTAATCCCAGTCATAGACCCTGGTTCTTTTACTTCTTTATACTATTTTCTATGGTAAAAACCAAATAAAACTGTAAATGTTGTGAGCAATTCTTGATACCTTAACCTAGGAGTTGATACCTAAATACCTAATCACCAGTGGGAAAAATTTGAACTATCAGTTTTACACAATTCTGCCCATTATTTCACGATTCCAGATTCAGATTGGCTTGCAAAATGCAAAGTAGCAATTGAAATGGATAATTTCATTCAGGAGGTTTTCTACTTTTATCTGAGTTTTTATGGAAATAATCCTCTGTCAGCTCTGTGCATAGAATCAGTAAAACGTGATAAATGGAACAGTGAGAGAAATAAACTAGTAGTTAGATTACTACCTGCAATTTCTGCATAAAATCCGCTTTTTTGAAGACGGTTGAAGTTGAACGGTTACGAAGACACATGGCGTAATACTCAAATGACGAATAGTTGCTGAAGCCTGATGTAAACATCACATGGCGAAATAATGATCAATAAAGAGCCGCGGATATCAGTTGTTTCCGGAATTTGACAAACCGCTGAAATTCTAAGATAAATTTATTTGATACTTTTGAAACTGATCAAGCCTAGTGAGTAGCATAAAATAATGTTCAAAAAATGATCTTTGATTTTCCCAATTTAGAATATTACATCAGCAATAGACGCATACTCATAGTGTTTGTAACGCCACTGGCAATTGTCGCGTTTGGTTTAACGACTACAAATTCAAAGAAAACAATATAAAATAAGGAAGAGTAGCCGCTAATACGAAGCTATTTATCGTCTAAAAAAATTTTGACTGCGGCACGCAACAACGCTTAGAAGCGCATGTCCTTGTTAGACATTCAACCCCAAAAACTTCCCTCGACCAACATTTCAATTCCGTAGAATTCTTTGTGCGCCGCTGCTTGGACAATATCTGTTTAGATGTGAATGCAAAAGGCGGAGAAATTTCAGTTTTGAACAATCATTCGGTTATCAATGCGCTAGTTAGCATATTTTTATTAACACGTTTTTCTTAGCCTAGCTTCGCGTTTGTTTGTTTGTTTGTTTGTTTGTTGTTAACATTGACAACGAAAATTAGCCCACTTCTGATTGTTCTTGAGCTCTGAAATTCGGCATGCAGGCTATTTTCGCCTAACAATTTTAGATACAATCATAAAAACTAGTAATTAGAGACCTAAATTAGTTTAATTTAGTAAAGTATATATATACTATATACTGTATATATATAGTACGACGTGCGGGCGCTGACGTTATAGATGAGCAGGCGCTAACGCTGCGTATCATCGATACGTACGTCAAGTCATACTTAATCAAGTCTTAATCGTTTTTCTTGTGGACTAAAAAGTAGAAAATAAAATACTTAAAAAATTTAAAAAAACATGTTTTTCGTGTGGACTAAAAATTAGAAAATAAATTATGGTTCGCCCCAAAAAAACGTGGGTCGGGCTGTACGTTCACAATCAAATTTCCAAAATTTAAGTGTTGTGTGCTTTTCGCTTTAATCATAAATCTGCCCGACACACGTTTTTTTGGGGCGAACCATAATTTATTTTCTACTTTTTAGTCCACACGAAAAACGTGTTTTTTTTTAATTTTTTAAGTATTTTATTTATTATATCTTGCCTTAAATCCTTAGCCGTAGTGCAAAACCCACACTCCAAACGCGGACAGATACCAATAGTAAATTTACTTAAAAACTGATAACCTTCTCGCAATCATGAGTTTAAATCCGTTGCTTGGTCTAGAAACTGAGACGAAAAAATTGTTTATGAAACGCGGTAAGATAATTATAATTTCCCTGTGCTTCACTCAAAGAATAGTCTTTATATCCGATGAAATTCAGCCAGTGGATGAGGGCAAGGGACACTCAGCCAGAGGGAAAAATTGTCAGTTCTCTTTATTAAACTTACATCAGATTTAAAATTCGCTAAAGTAACAGGTAATATTTAGAAACTTATAATGTTTCTAATTAGAACAATAATATGTTTCCGTGTCCATGAAACACGAGACCCAGAGCTTTTTGACAACGGAAGTCCTAATGACACTTTGAAACACAACCGCTCAATGTGCATCATTTATTGTTGAAGGCTAATTGATTCAAAATCGCCGAATCTCTAAACCATGAAACATGACCTACCAGCTCAGCTGCCGCGAGGTGCCTGGTTGCGAGAATTGATTTTTCAGCGGAAACTCCAGTAGATCAACGCGGCGTTCGCTCCTAGAGCTCCGCATGCCGCCGCTAACAAAAATACATGTATTGCGTCGCAATAAAATTGCGGTAATAGAGTTGTGGGCACGCGACTCTAACGTAATAATACGATGATGAGTCTAAAAATTGGGTGGTGGATAACTAAATTACTAGTTATAAGCTAATTCATTCTAATAAATGGATATTTCATTGGAGAATAGCAGGGAATGTTTCTAGTGCAGTCACCGAACCAAACTCAAAAAATTTTGCAATTTGTTATTTCAATTCAACATTTCCTCAATAATATTGCTTCCTTATAATTTAAATAACTTTAAAATTCGAACCCTTCATTTTTCTATCCATTTTAGGCATAGATAAATATCGCCTAATCAAAATGTATAAATTGTAGATTTTGTAAAATACTGGTAACTAATATCATATGGCCACACACAGGGACGGTAATCTTAATAATCACCCTCTGAGCACTAAAAAGGGTTTATATAATGACGAGTTTTTAGAGCTCGCGTCGCATGACCCGAGTAAAAAGAAATGTATTTTACTGAAAGATCTGATAAACGATGCAACGAGCTCGGTGTTGCCTGCAGTTTAAAAAATTCAAATGCTCAAAATATTTATAAATTTGTTCTATGGTCCCTGCCGATCCTGATGTTACTGAATGATTTATGTGTCTTATTAAGTAATGAAAAATACCGCGTGAAGCTTACGTCATCAACGCCTGAATGTAGGAACAATGAGAGTGAAATGCTTCGTTTCGAATAATTTTTAGAGACACGGCAGCCATGTTACTCCACCAGCTCTTGTTGAGAAGTCTAAAGGATATATCAATTTCTACTGCTAAATACAATATCGAGTAGGTATCATAATATACGTTTTTAAGGCCTTGTACATCAGCAGTAACAAGCGCACGAAAAAATATAATAATAAAAAATATATATTTGATTCACATGTAACATAACACTGATAACAGTAACGAAGACCGTTCATATACATATATATATATTAGTATAAGATAGCAGAATAAGCTTGTTTAAACACGAGTGGTTAATGACCAGAGAAATCATTGATTTAAATTTTCAGGATCGAACAATATTCTTCAGTTGTTCGATCCTGAAAATTTAAATTGATGATTTCTCTGGTCATTAGCCACTCGTGTTTAAACAAATATATATATATATGTATATGAACCAGTGTAAGCTATAAGAAGTAGGACTAGATGCATGTATTTCATGTAGAGCTCCAGGCACGATAATAAATTTCATATTTCATGTCCCAATTACAGTTCACATAAATAAAGTTGATGTTTGCTAATTAGAAACAAAGACACGTTTGAATAAATATTCTACATTGAAATCTTGTAAGACTTTTTTCAAAATATGAAAAGAAAAGACTATTCAGTACATTTGAAATTGATTTTTTATACCTATCTACTTATCATATTTTATTATTGGTGAAATAATAACCTGCCAGCTGTGCACTGCCCTGCTATTCTGTCGTTGAGAATTAAGTTTCAGTTAATATCCCGACACGATAAGTAGGTATCCTGGATACCTACTTATGCCGTGTTATATCACGACACGATAAGTATCCTGGATACGCGCCCCAACAGCCCCTATATACAATATCCCGACACGATAAGTATCCTGGATACGCGCCCCAACAGCCCCTATGTACAATATCCCGACACGATAAGTATCCTGGATAGGCGCCCCAACAGCCCCTATATACAATATCCCGACACGATAAGTATCCTGGATACGCGCCCCAACAGCCTCTATATACAATATCCCGACACGATAAGTATCCTGGACACGCAATTGACAGCGTCCATAAATCTACGGCACCAGGCTTCCAAGACACGAATATTGACCTCGATGATACTATATTGTGTAAATTAATACTTATACCATAAATTTGCCGAAATCGCAAGTTCAAAATTTCAATTTAAAAGCTAAGAAATCATTACGCACATTTGTAATATCGTCAATGAAAAGGTTTCGGAGACCAGCTGCATCAGTTCAAATAATTTATATTATACAAGTATTAATCGGAATTGGCAAGCAATCAAAATAAAACATTAGGTATATTGTCATGTAAATACTGCGGCCTTCATCACATAAAACATATTGAGCTATAGGATGAACCTGCGGGGAATGTGCAACTTTTTGAGCCCTAGACTGCGAGTAGAAAAACCCAGCACAGCATTCAGGCAGTTCACCTACACAGCACAGCATTCAGGTAGTTCATCTACACAGCACAGCATTCAGGCAGTTCACCTACACAGCACAGCATTCAGGTAGTTCACCTACACAGCACAGCATTCAGGCAGTTCACCTACACAGCTCAGCATTCAGGTAGTTCACCTACACAGCACAGCATTCAGGTAGTTCAGCTACACAGCACAGCATTCAGGCAGTTCATCTATACAGCACAGCATTCAGGCAGTTCATCTACACAGCACAGCATTCAGGCAGTTCACCTACACAGCACAGCATTCAGGTAGTTCACCTACACAGCACAGCATTCAGGTAGTTCGCCATGTAGCATATCAACAGGTAGCTTAAAAAACAAATTAATTATTGACAATGATTATCTCCATAGTCTGAACATTTTGTAATTGTCTGTACAAAAATTAATAAAAAAAACCTGTTTGTTGCGGAATACTTCTATTACGGTGACCACCGAGTTGTCATACCATATGGTATATCGGCCTAACCTTGGTTCGAGGTCAACAAGGTTCCAAAGGCGATACTTGGTTTTAATTTCATTTTCCTCTTTCCAAGGTAAATCCTGTTCATTCGGGATTACTTTAGAGCGTGTTTAAATAAACATCATATACATATGGAAATCAGATATAAAATTTATTACACTAAGAAAGTTCAAAGGGACATGGTTCACTATTCGCTGCTCAGAAATATCAATTGTAAAAATTGAAAACACCTTTCAACACAAACTACATCTAAATGAGTAAGCATTCACCAGCCTAGTTCAATAGTTCTCGAGTTAAAAAGTTGTGTATCAATGCCTAGACATTAAGACATTTGAGATAGGCCTTGGATATTAGTCAAAATATGCTGAAACATTCTCAATGCTTAAATCATCAGAATAAAGTAAAGTCTAGGACACAATAAGTAGCAAACCTCGTGACAACCAGCAGCTTTGGCTAATGCAATCATATATGTCCTCAAGACAAAAATCGGATTCTAAAATAAGTAAGTAGTGCTAGTTATCTTGGGTGCAATACCGGTACTAGCCGCAGATCGGCTTGAGCAAGCAATTGGCCTTCAGTTAATGTTGTCACATTTTGGCATGAAATTACACACTGATATAAACTTTGGTTCCTCACGTTTTCCTGACGGCTCAAAGAAATGCACTAAAACAAAGTGACTTATATGCGATTAATGTTTCGATACCAGCGTAAAGAATAAGTTTTCATACATTCTAGAAAACAGCGAGCAAAAATCTTGTCAATAAAATTCTGATCCATTGTTAAATACTGACTTCAAAACATCATCGGATTGAATTACCTCAATTAAAATTAGTAATCATTTCAACTGTTCAGACTGCATCTTTCTGATAATGCAATTGAGGAAAAGCTACTCCAAAGTATTTACTTAATAGACAAATAACCACTAGAATGACCTGATCAAGCAGACGCAAATTTTACTAAGAGAAACATGTCAGTCAGGCATGTGAAACATGAAATAAAATATGAAATAGAAGCTATGAAATATCTGATTACTGATCAATTGATTAAATAATCCATTGTGATTAATTGTTAAAATAGAGCAATATCGGTCTGAATCAGGAACTTAGACTAACTCAATTTTCCACACTTGTATTCTGAAAGGCCCATACGAGCCTTGTATTCACATTAGCACATGGCTTTCACATTCACCCACAAGCTTTCAAATTTGCAAAGAGATAAGGCTGATTAATCTCAGTATGGGTTTTCCTTTCATGCTGCGCGTTATCCACAAAAATTGAACATAATAATATATTTCGACAATAAATCTGCACATTTCTATTAGGAAAATACAGCAGCAAAAATAGCTATAACCTCCTCGCGGGAGTCTCAACCTATAACGCGTCAGATTTTTGACTCAGCGCTGGTTGCTTCCGACTTCCAGGCGAAATCCCTCTGAGTTGGCGTGTCGTTTGCTTTTTGAAAAAACTTGCCCTGAACATTTTTCATAAACGCAACACATGTTACACACACGCCTGCAGACCATTCCAAGAGGCTCGGTCTTCAGCACCCAAGAGGTGCGGTATTAGGCATTCAAGAGGCGCGGTCCTCGGCATCCAAGAGGCGCGGTCCTCGACATCCAAGAGGCGCGGTCCTCGGCATCCATGAGGCGCGGTCCTCGGCATCCAAGAGGCGCGGTCCTCGGCATCCAAGAGGCGCGGTCCTCGGCATCCAAGAGGCGCGGTCCTCGTCGGGCCTCGGCATCCAAGAGGCGCGGTCCTCGGCATCCAAGAGGCGCGGACCTCGGCATCCAAGAGGCGCGGGCCTCGGCATCCAAGAGGCGCGGGCCTCGGCATCCAAGAGGCACCGTTCTCGGTATCCAAAAGGCGCGGTCTTCATCATCCAAGAGGCGCGATTTTCGGCATCCAAGAAGCGTGGTCTTTGAGGTCATCGATGCTCTCGCCGTAGATGCACCATTAACTAGAGCGCCATGGAGATGTCCACTAACAGCCGGGCGTACCTGCAACCACAACCATGGTTAGTGGAAAGTATCATATCTGCTGCCGGCACCGGTAGAATGCTCACCAGACATCAGCCATCATGGCTGCTGCCTGCACCAGCAGCATGCTTACCTGACTTCAGCCATCATGGCTGTTGCCTGCACCAGCAGCATGCTTACCTGACTTCAGCCATCATGGCTGTCGCCTGCACCAGCAGCTTGCTTGCCTGACTTCAGCCATCATGGCTGTCACCTGCACCAGCAGCATGTATACCTGACATCAGCCATCATGGCTGTTGCCGGCACCAGCAGCATGCTCACCAGACATCAGCCATCATGGCTGTTGCCTGCACCAGCAGCTTGCTCACCTAACCTCAGCCATCATGACAGGTTTTGATCCAATTTAATTTTTAAATCATTACCTATAATATTTAAAATTTTTACAATGTTCATCATTAATTTCAATATTCTTATCAATATAGTAATTTAATTTAGATTAGCTATGCCAATCAAAGTTGAGAGAACTGTGGTAAAGCTGTTGTTCCTACAGGTTCTACACCAGTTGTACGAACCTAAGGCTAAAATACTAACATAGGATGTACTAAATACAAGCAAGGAGCTAAGAATAATTCTAATAAAATACCATAATATTTAACCCGCAACCTCTTATATTTCTGTGCAGATAAACAAAACCAAGAAAGCTACCTTTAATTCTCAAGTTAATTCTTGAGGATCAGTCAACATGTAAGCTGTTCTATCACCACGAGAGAAGTATTCTACCCTGCAAGTCTTTTTTTAACAGAGCACAGGGTTGGCGATTTTTTTGATTATTTTAAAAAAATCAAATAAATCAAAAATCAATGATTTTTTTATTTTTTCATGATTTTTTTTATTTATTTGATTTTTTTGATTTTTTCAGCTTTCTTGTATTTTTGAAGTGTTATTTTTTATGTTGCAATTAGCCTACTAACAATAACAGTATATGGATCATAATGGATGGCTAAGAAGGGCACTTATTGCCTTCAATAATGGCCAACAGGCCACTCACTTAGGGATTTTTGGGTAAACAATTATTGATAAGTCTATTCATTAGCATTGTTAAGTTTGTATGGAGCAAGGTAATGTGCTAAATATTGACCATTTAACTGGCTTCTATATACAAAAATACTTCAGGAATGCAGATCTTCTAAACATTGAAGAGTCACATAACAGATAGGTAGCTGATAGCACAGTGCACAGCAATATCAATAGATCTACTAGTTTTATGTCCTATAAATCTACCAGACTCTACCCTCTATACACACCGACTAGTAGTGACTGAGTGACTGACTGCACTGTTCCCATTTAATTCAGACCAATAAACCAATACTAAACATAAACTGAACGATAACCAAACAAACCTCATACGACTTGAAACCATACATAAGTTATGAGAAAATCTAACACTGTTTGAAATAAACACGTGTACAATTAAAATATTTTATATCCATTCACTGCATTTAATTATTTTATATATAGTCTTATAATTGTAATTGTTTCATTTCTAGTTTCAAATTCACATATTTAAAGATTGAAATGAAATATTTTAATTAGAATACCCGTATTAGGGTGGAAAATCATTTTAATTGCCTAAAAGGTCAATACAATCTCAACCTCTCAATATACAGGGTGGGGCGGAACAAATTGAGCAGTTTTGAGGTAAAATAAAAGAGTAATGGAGGTACATAAAGAAGAAAGTTTATTTTCCTAGAGGTTAGCATAACATACCATTTAGAATACTTATGATTTGAAAACAATATCTGGAAGATGGGGGCCCTTAGCTGCAACAAACTGTTGGAGTCGTTCTCAGAGGAGGGAGTAACCGTAACATTGCTATGCTGCAATGTTGCAAAATTTCTTGCAGCCCATGATGGAAAACATTGTTGAAAATGAAGCATTGGGAGACATGTATGATGTGGTTCCAGCAGGATGGGGCTACAGCTCACACAGCCAGAATGTCACTCAATGTTTTGAAACGCATGTTCCCGGAGGTCTGGTGTCTGAGGGGTGATTTACAGTGGCCTGCAGGGTCACCTGATTTGAGCATTTGCGATTTCTTTCTTTGGGGACATCTAAAAGAAAGGGGTTCAGTTGTCGCCCTCACACCCTACCACAGCTAAGGGAATGGATTATTGCAGCAGAGGTTAAGGCCATACCTTGCGATATGTGTGAACGTGCTGTAGAAAACTTCTGAGAACGACTCCAACAGTGTGATGCAGCTAACAAACCCAATCTCCCTGGTATTGTTTTCAAAACATAAGTACTTTAAATGGTATGTTATGCTAATCTTGAGGAAAATAAACTTTCTTCTTTATGTACCTCCATTATTCTTTTATTTTGCCTCGAAACTGTTCAATCAGTTCTGCCCCACCCTGTATAAGCTAACTAACACATTTAAATTGTATATTGTAATCAATATACAACAAATAGTCAAATAGTTGAAGACTACTTATAGCCTTATAAGAATTAGCTAAGCTGCTAGCTACGTACAATGTATTGCACTCTTGATGCCTCTGTACCAAAAACATTCAATTTATTGGAACCTAATACACACTAAAGGCAACAAGTTAATATACCAATTTGTCATCCTTATTATATTTATACTAAACCATGAATAACAATACCTCAATATAAATTAAAGACTACCACTCAATATATTTAAATATATGAAAAAATCAAAAAAATCAAAAAAATCGAAAAAATCAAATAAATCATGATTTTTTTATAAAAAAATCAAGTGATTTAATCACATGATTTAATCATTTTGATTTAATCATTGCCAACCCTGACAGAGCATCACCAGAATTTGCAATTTTTTTCACCTGGATGATCTCAAATCATTTCTGGAGAGAAGCCCATTAACTTGGAGAAGCCCATTAATACAAACTTGGCAGTTCCAGTCATTATTTTGTGGCTGATGTTTTTGATGGCCAGAAAATTTTTCTTGGAGTAAAGCCATGGCCTCCACCACTGAGTTGCTTGCCTCCTCAGCTCCTTGATGTGGCTTGTTAAGATGTCATCTTGCTGCACAGGCATAGAATAATATTTTAATGAGTTGAAAAGTAAACCAGTAAAGGCAACTAGAAGAAGGTTGAAATTGAGTGAACCGGTATAGGCAAGGCAACAAATAGCAGGGTATAATTATAATCAGTAGATAGGTGAACCATTATAGGCAACAAAATAAGGGAAAAATTTATTACACATACAGTGTATTCATGGACACATCACGGTTGTTTTTTAATAATTCATAAATTAACAATAACCATATAAAGCTATATATATTTATGCTGAAAACAAATTTTCCACACACTTATGTGCTTGAATCAAACGATGAAAAGTATATTAAATGATCACAGTTGATCGCTAATGTTATTATCACTTAGTTGAAGACTTGCCACAACACTTGTGCAGCCAGTCTTCAATAGGAACAATATTTATAAGCAAAACTTTCAGTAAAGATAAAACAGCTTTGCAGTTATATGGAAACCATAACATACAAATTATAGTTCTGACCAGTATAATACTAGTATATGTTTTTCTTTGTTTATGCACAGCAAGTTGAGTGCAGTAATATATGTATATATTAGCAGATTGGTGACGCTCAGGTCATTGATGGTAGAGAAAAATACTGAAACAATAACATAGAACTTGAATTTGTTAAAACAACACCAATGTTTCCACCAATGTTCCAACAGCAGCCACTTGCTTCAAACCTTGCCATGAGTACAAATCCTCTTTGCTCATCTTCCTATAATGCTGTGCTCAAGAGTAGCCTATGTAATTGATTCTGATAATTTGTATGTGATAATTTCAGAGCAGTTGCCTCTTGATTGCAGAATGAATTATATAGTAATGCATCTAACTAGAGATAAAACAGAGATAAATTATGCAAGGTTTCCAAACTAGAAATAATTTATAAGCAGTCCCCAAACATGGGAAAAATTACTACCTACCGTAAAATGGGGTTACTTTGACTCCCGGGGTAACTTTGACCACTTATTTTCAACAAAAACCGCCAAAACTCAAAAACTATTTGACATAAGTATTAAAATCACTTGTTTGCTTGAATCTCAAGTTAACCAGGAATTTAAAAGCAAAAACAATACCACAAAAATTCACCATATCTTTATATGAGAAAACGTTTTGGAGTCCAGCTCCATCATCAGTTCACAAAATTCAGTTCAGAAGAAGTTCAGATCTAGAAACACAAATACAATCAAGTAGTAGAGTAAAAGGCACTGTTTGGTTTTAAAACGGAGAATAAATAAATAAGACATGAAATTAATGCTAGTAAACGGCCTATCTATTTACTATTTCAAGAGGAACGGAGCTAAAAGCGGCATTTAGACTAGGCTGCTGCTTGAATATATAGGTATAGAGATTCTAAAATGCGTAGATCAGTAACACCGGATGCGGAAGCTAGAATTTAAAAAATTTGTATCCAATAATGATTTTGAAATTCTAGCTTCCGCATCCGGTGTTACTGATCTACGCATTTTAGCATCTCTATTTATATTCAAGCAGAAGCCTAGTCTAAATGCCGCTTTTAGCTCCGTTCCCCTTGAAATAGTAAATAGATACCGTAGGCTGTTTACTAGCGTTAATTTCATGTCTTATTTATTTATTCTCCGTTTTAAAACCTAACAGTGCCTTTTACTCTACTAATTGATTGTATTTGTGTTTCTAGATCTGAACTTCTTCTGAACTGAATTTTGTGAACTGACAATGGAGCTGGACTCCCAAAACATTTTCTCTTATAAAGATATGGTGAATTTTTGTGGTATTGTTTTTGCTTTTAAATTCCTGACTATTTGACATAGAAAAATTTAGTCAATGGCCACTAAAGGCCTAATACTGAGGCTATGTAACACAATAGAAAGATTTAAAAAGTTTGCATATCTAATAGGTTAAAAAATTGAAAATGTGATGGTGTGACCTATGAAAAAGAGCTATTATTTAAAGCCTGTTGGAGTACCCCCTTTAATTTTTTTATTTTTTGGTAAAATAACTCCAGGTTTTGATGCATTGTTTTTGTAGTAGAACTCTTCTAGTTACATATGCAAATGACAAATTTTAGGAAAGTGTCATAGTTTGCAAATGAGGGGCGCCGCCCCCCAATGGGGAAACTTTGACCACCTAATGGCAGCTGTGACAGGGTAACATTGACCGGCTTGGAAACTAAGTTAAAATTACCATAGGTACCTAGGGTAAACGCGGTATATTCCGTCACATTAGGGACGCATTGAGAAATGAAAAACTATAAAAAAATTACCATATGCGTTACTCAAGTTCTGTTTGCTTTATGTGACTCTCACAACACCGCACTACGTGTCAGCAACAATGAAACGTCACAAAATGTTGCCATATTTATTTAAAAGCCTTTAGAATGGAAACCTACCAAATCCCTATATTACGTCACTGTGTGTGGCAATATTCAGCACGTGGTGAGGCATATTCCGTCCGCGCTTCAAATTCTACTGATATGTAATGCCGTCATCCACGTGTTCGAATTCCGTTTGCTGTGTGAGCTGTATTGGAATACAACACAGCTTTGAATTAGATTATTAGAACACTAAATGAATATTGAACACTACTTAATTACGCTTTTAATTAACAACTATTAAGCTTTTAATTAAGCAAATTTTAATTTTTGTACACAGCTTGGAATGATCTGTGTGTGTCCAATTCAAGTTGTGATGGAATTAGTTTTCATGTGTCTAAATCAATTTCTCAACTTAATCATCTATTAATTTATTTACCACTTGAAATCAGCGAATACAAGTATACTTAAAGGATTCCTAATATATTCACAGACGTATTTAAAAGTCTCAAACCATAATATTCTTCCTATACAAACCACACTCAGGAAGATGTATATAAACGGGGAAATTTCTCGCGTAAATCAATCTAATTATATTTTTTCGTGCAGGCGTTCGTGCAAATCACGGTCATCGATTCCGCACTGCGCAGCACTCGGCGCGGGCCGCAGAGCCGTCCGACACAGTTCTGATTTAGACACAGTTTTCATCTGAATGGAATGGCAACATCGTCTGTAGATGATTTCAAGTAACGCTGAAACAGCATTGCCAGATGGTATATTTCTATACCAGATTTCACAAATCTGGTATTTTCAAAAGGTGTCTGGTATGAATATTTTAGATCTGGTATATATGCCTAAATCTGGTACTTTTCTGGTATTTTCTGACTTACTACAAATTTACTGCATTTAGTTCCACCTCTGAAGTTTGAACTTCCTTTAGTGTAGGCGTGGATTATATTATTATTTATATGAATTGCCTTCAGAGCGGCGCGATTAGAGCTATCCCGCCATTTTTGGAACCGCAAGTTTACCGCAAGTTTTCATGTCAACCGGAACTCGAACACCACAGCAGAGAGTATTTTATGCAGCTAATGAATTTTGCAAACTTTGCTGGAAGAGAGATTATTGAATTTTAGAAAAAAGGCGGGATAATTCAATGAAGGCTGGTGGCAGAGCTGCAATCTTGATACTCTATTGTGATTTGTGCTATGATAACCTATGTAACAATTTTCATATGATAGTTATAATTTTTGCACATTCAAAGTACACATGACATAACATAACGCACCCATTTGACTTATCTTGCAAATATATATATTCATATTATGTATCACATAGCATAATTATGCTCTGTAATTATGCCATATTGACCTAATTTGTATAGTCCATTTACGCGCATTGTTATTAGGTATTGATCGTGTCAATTTTGCCGGCCGGGAGGATGTCGGTAATGTCGTACTGTTGACATACAGGTTCATACCCTACTTGCCGCAACCAGTCCAGTCATTCATTAGAAAGCACCGATGGCACAGCAAAAGCCATGTTGCCTTCTTTAGTTCTGTAATTCATGTCTGATTGAATTGTGATCTATGAATGAATATTCATTACTGTGCTGACTCTTAGAACCTGAGTCCTGAGTTGACGCGGTAGCAATCTAGTTAACTCGTATCCAACCACAACACAGTGCGGATACACGTTTGTGTGTACGGTCAGTGTGATTACGTAATTTGCATTGCCGCAAGTCCATATTTAAACTATTTTAGCTTTCTAAAAGTACGGCGCACGGCACATTTTTTTTTACCGGCATAGTATGGCGCACCACGCAGGTTGTTAAAATGACAATATAAATTCCTGCGCACCTGGCACATCTTCCTGACCATGGTATACAAACAGTTATTCACTACGGTATTTGGTAGAGCAAGGTCAACTGTCAAATTTGACACATTTTTCAATGATCTCACTGGGTAGCCCGGTAGCGTGCATCGTCTCTCTTTGGATCTCAATATTTTCCCACTAGATGGCCAAGACCTAGTGTTTTGGCATTAGTTCGACGCGCAAATGTATGACGTCACCATTTCAACCATGAACAAACGCATGGAACTAAAACAAAGCTTAATATAAAGGAAAAACTAAAGAGGTGACAGAATTACCCACAAATCCACGATGTCGGAATATACCGCGTTTACCCTATATAACATATTTCATGTTTGATACATATATTAAATGTTTTTCTTTATGTTTCAGACTCTACAGAGTCTTTTATATGGTAATTTAACCTTAATTTCCAAGCCAGTTGGCAGTCATTGGTCAATGTTACCCCATCAGCCGTCAGGGCTGACATTTAACATTAGGTGGTCTAAGTTTCCCCATTAAATTGGCCATTTGGGATTGGGGGCGGTGCGGGCCGCCCGGGCCGGTGCCCCCCATTTGCAACCTATGACACTTCCCTAAAAATTTGTCATTTGCATATGTAACTAGAAAAGTTCAACTACAATGCACAAAACCTAGAGTTATTTAGAGTTATTTTACCAAAAAATAAAATTGATTTTACCACCCAGTCAAAACTCAAAGAAACACCCTAGAGGCTAGAGCTGGGGTAAAAAGGACCATCAATTTTTTTTTTAAATTACATCAAAACTATGAGAGGCTGGAGCCAGCAATTTATGGTGAGGGAAGCTAGAGTATAGACCTGTATTTTGCATGTTTCAATTTAAGTTTAACTTATCTAGTAAAAAATTGGCATCATTTTGAAAAAAAAAGTGGTCAAAGATACCCCCTTTTACGGTAGTTGTCATAAACAGGAGGAATGCCCGGAATGGTGTACAGTGCTACTCTGTATAAAAAAAAACAATTTTGGTCATATATAAAACCCAACATCTATATAAGAACATAATTATGACTAACTAACTAACTAACCCTCAGCACAGGAGTGACAGGACAGGACACCTTCCTCTTCGGCAGTCAGAACACGTCCCACGCCCACCGATCAACAAACCCGCTAAAAACTTGACCTCGCTCCGGAACGCGATTTGGTCGTGCAAGCGGATGCCAAAAACTATTTAAATTTTCATGCTATTATTTTTTAATGCTTAATCAGAGAGTGAGACTACTGCTACTACAAAAAAATATATCTACCAGGTATTTTCTGTTCATTTATTGTCGAACCCATTTTGCTGTTTGTTGAGTGAATATTCGTACTTTACTAGGGGCGATTTGAAAGTGCATGCAAGCATTAATCGGCATAACCTTTTCGCTGCTTACTTTGCGAGCATTCTGGAGCCGGCAGAGACAACTTATAACCGTATGTCCTTTATGAGAATTAATTGGCAAAACTTCTCAGCCACACGGGACGTGAATATTCTTGTGTCACTGAGAATGCCCTAAAAAGGGCACTCGATCATCCAGGGAAGAAACTTCTGATTTGCATGGAGTGAAATTATTGTGCCCATAGATAGGCAATCTAAAGAAACAGGTTATTACTATACATTCATGAGCAAATTCACATCAATTCTAAATTTGCAAGTCCAATACACACGAAGTGAAAGAAAGAATTTATAGAAATGCCGTTTATGATGATCAGTTTATATGCGTTTTGTGAGTAGAAATGCATGTTCGGTAAACGCTTGTCATTCTGATGGTATTTTTGACTGTAATTTTTTAATCTTTATAACCATGACAATTCCATAATTATCAGACTTATTATTTGCGAAGTATGTGTCGAGCAGGAATGCTGCTGGTCTTGGCTTCCGGAGAGATGTCCAAGTCGACCAGGAATAATTTCCTTAGCCCGCCAGACGCTTTGCCTTATTGCTCATAGCTGCCTTCTCTTCATCTCATTTTCGTTTGGAAGCAGAGCTTCTTCAAAATTTGGGTAGGGTAAATCGGGATGAATAGCGATCGTTCATTGCGAGGTGGTTTCTCTCATACTAAATGATATTGGACAAAGAACTTATATACAATGATTTATCATGTATTTTATCATATGAGAATGTTTATGTTAGAATTAGTCGCTACATTGATTTTTATTATAACGAAATTTATTCGAAACATATTTTTATCGTTAATCGAACTATTATAATTGAGAGGTAATATTGGTAGCGATGTTGAGCGGTAACTATGCTAAAAAATTGATGATCGCTGAGCACGTAATATAATTCCGAAAAAATGCGAAGTCGATATTTTTCTTAACCAACCGATAAAATATGGCGGCTGAATGACTCGAATAATTTTATTACGGATCAATCTACATCATTAGAAGTGGCAGCACACTTTCACTTATGAACTCACGTCTGACTGCAACCTCAGCCGATAGTTTAAACTCGACAGCTTGTGACGTGCACTCAACGATCAGTATAATTACTTGCAAATAAGCATTAACCTTGACCTGTATAAACACGCCATTCATTTGTTCTCCATCGAGAATGTGGTTACCGCGGCCACTAAACGCCGCTTTATAGTTGAACAAATCAATGCTAAAGACCTCGCTCTGAATTGATATCTTGAAGCTAAGACAAATAATTGCCAAGCTTTTGTTCAGCAATTGAATTGATTTTGGTCAGTAAATTGATTAATTAATAGCAATATGAATAAATATGCGTGACATGACGTGATGAAACGAATAAAGGTCCACAAATAACCTGTCGCGTCACCTCAAAAGTTCAGATGGTTTCTTCGCCAGGCCTACCAATGACCGGGGCTTACTTGCAACGCCAAACACGCTTCCCCGTTTGTTTACCAGCAGCTTAACTGGGATCAGCTGCTTAACTGGCGGCTACTAAAAATTAACAATCACGTCACAGCTGTCAAGCTTGACTATGACTATGCAATCTTTAGCAAATAATATGCAATTCTACGGCACCAAGTTTGGTGTAATAAGTACTTATATCATTAGTCTGCTTATATCGCAAGTTCACAAGGAATTTAAAAGCAAAGAAAACGCCAAGAAAATTCACCATATCGATATTGAAAACGTTTCGGAGTCCAGCTCCATTACGCTGTGCATCTACGTACGTTGGAATGACGTCGCGTAACTTCTACTACGTTTTCAATATCGATATGGTGAATTTTCTTGGCGTTTTCTTTGCTTTTAAATTCCTTGGTGTAATAAGATACAGAGTTGGTATAGCGGTCGGCATGCTGCATTGCTACTTGGCAGCGGACGGCACAGAAAATGTGGAGAAGCGACTTAATTAGTACTTCGCTACATTTGGTGATCACATCGAGGAAATAGTAGCGAAAGACAGACAACAGATGTGCTGGATCTGGCGGACATTCCAAATAAGAGAAGAGGCGCCAATTATTCCAACAGAGATCCAACAAACGTAGTGGAGCACTTCTAAATATGAGAGTTTATTGGCACTTAGTAGAAAAATTGAAAAATTTTTTATTATTACTTCAGTCTTGATACTCCAAAGTGGCATATTTTCAATAAATTTAGAATCTTGCAGCTTTATTGTGCACTCTTGGTAATAAATATTCCGAAGATAATTCACATAGCAGGAATCAAAACCTCGGAAATAGCGGGAATTGCCTCCAAAAACGGTTGAGATTGCCGGGAAAGCTTTAGTCACAACTGAAGATGAAAAATTCCATGCCTGCACGGTGAGCAGGCCTGCTCAAGGTTGCGTTAATTGAAAACTTCATGGGTACTTTTTATCACATTGATATGACGTAAGAACTTAATTCTTACATATTACAAATTATTATGTAACGGGGCTGCATTGCTGCTCACACAACGTCGAAATGACGACGTGGGTTGGTCGTTTTCGTTAGCCTCAACGGCCAAAAAAATTATATCAAATTGTTTGCTTAAAGCGATGCCGTTGGCTTGCGCCGTTGTTGACTGGGAATAAAAAAAAAACTTCTCAAGAATATGATAATGTCCATTCAAATTATTGTTAAATTTGCATAATACAGGAAACCCTGTGAAAGTCAGCTTTTATGTTGTATTTTGATTTGAGATCAATGTATAACCCGAAACTTTCAAAACTGATGTAGTATTTATAAAATGTGGTTTGAAAAATAGGGGGAAAACCATGGGTATATGGTTTAATTTCCAGTCGCATTAACCCTCTTTATATCAGCAGAGAGACTGAGAGAGTAGGTTTTTACAACTCATAATTCTGCAATAATTACATATATTCTATCCATCACTTGTAAGTGCAATATCAAAGAAATGAATACTTTGCATAGTAAGGGAGCGAAATTTTTTATGGAAAGGGTACAATGATTTATTTTCGCCATTTTTTTTAATAGGACAATCGGACCGGCAGAACGCCCGATCATTAATTGACGATTCAATCTGATTAAGAATTATTTCATGAAAACGTATACTCAAAATGTTTGCGAACTACAAGATTACAGAGTTGAATTATTTGTGGCTAAAAGGGAAATATTTTATTTTTAGGTGGCAGAAATTTACATCCCTCCATAGCTCCATTTTTATCACAGTTACTCTACTGAAACAATTTTTATGACAGTTTCACAGTAGAAAATGATATACAGGAGTAACTGAAATAAGTTTGAATTTCTGCATCTGTATCACTGACTATGAAATCCTACTATAAAATATGTTGGGGTACGAACGTCTGGTGGATTATAACGGCAATTAGGTTTTAATTAATCTGTTTAATTTATTAAATAATCTGTTTAATTAATTATTCGCACAAATATGTATACAATTCAGAAGTTTGATTATTATTTTTCGACATCTATCTTTAAAAAGTTCGAAATTTTGCGCCGATGTTATTGCTACAAGTGTATGATTGGTCCAAGTAAATTGATGTGAAATAACTATTGAAATTTAGAGAACTTCTATTTGAAGTCGGGTCTACGTTATACATTTTCCCGCAATTATAAATAGCCGATGAGCAATTAATCATACGATTTGGAGCCTCATGGGAACATGAACAATGTTTTCTATGGAGTAAATTCAATTGCTAAAATAAATTCATTAATTCACACGAAGAATGGTTGTAGCGAAATTAAAAAATCTCAATTCTCTGATCCCTGCAAGAGAAAGCAGAAAACGTCAGTTATATTTGAATAAAATTAATAGATTTCGGTATCGAAAGATAAGAAGGTGTACAATGATATACGAACCCGTCGAAAAATAATGGAGTTACAAATGTCTCAAGGCAGAGATGAACACATTGTCTATTTTATACAAAGTATTTAGTAAAAAGATCCATATTGCCGATGATCACAGCAACAGCTGATGATATTTGCATGCAGAGAACAGCCTTTCTAGGCGCATGAACTTGACGGCACGGCACCTGTGCGCTGGTATCTAAGATACTGTCTCGGCGCATGAACTTGACGGCACGGCACCTGCGCGCTGGTATCTAAGATACTCTCTAGGCGCATGAACTTGACGGCACGGCACCTGCGCGCTGGTATCTAAGATACTCTCTAGGCGGATGAAAGGAGCCCCGTCATCTTTCAACTCACAAAAGTTCATTTCGGATATGAAGTTTTACAACTTCCAAAATGTTTTTTCTTGCCACAATTGTTGATTTATCAATAACTTCGGAATGGAGCAATGCCATTGATATAACAATTTCGAAGACAAAGACACAAATAGAAAGATATATATGCATGAACATACTTTTTGTGAAGTTTGATGGAAATACTCTACAAATTATGATGAAATATTTCTATCCTCATGTTATAAAATTAAAGTAAGTAGGAAATTATCTAAAAAAATTATTTCTTATTGATATATTTTTCTGCAGTTTTTTTAGGTGAATGAATCAAAATTTAACCTTGATTGATTGATCCAACAATAAGTAAAAGCACATTTCCTTTATTTTCCATTATGATACAAAACGGAAAACTGCTAAGTTAATGTCGACATGGTTAGAATAACTAAAAACTTAGGGCCTATATCATTATCACATTTGTCTCTGAATCATGTACAAAATGTCCTCCGTCCTCATAGAATAGAATAGAAATGTCGGCATTGAAGAAATAGGCCCATGGCCTGT